GCCCGAGCACTTGGGCCATCTTCTGTTGCCTTCCCAGGCATATTATCAGGGAGCTAGATCAAAAGTGGAGAAGTCAGGACTCAAACCACCGCGCATATGGGATGTTGGTGCTACAGAAGGCAGCTTAACCTGCACCACAGCGCCAGCCCAAGGAGAGAGAGAGAGGTCTTCCATCCACTGGTTCGCTCCCCAATTGGCCACAGTGGCTGGAGCTGCACCAACCCGAAGCCAGGAGCCAGGAGCTTCTTCCACGTTTCCCACATGGGTGCAGGAGCCCAGGGACTTGGGCCATCTTCTACTGCTTTCCCAGGCCACAGCAGAGAGCTGGGTTGGAAGTGGATCAGCGGGGACTTGTCCATATGGGATGCCAGCACTGAAGGCTGTGGTTTTACCCCTTTGCCACAGCACTGGTCCTCCAAGAGTCATTTTTGACTTTGTGGACTTTTGGAGAGGTACAAGTCTCCATCACCCTGTGGTATGAGGGTTAGGGTTATATTTTCAGATTGTTGATTTGTGGAGGAAAAAATGATGAATTTTACCATGCTGTGTTAAGAAGATATCTTGAGTGGATGTGGCCCTGTCATAACTGATACAAAAACAGATGCCGCTGTAGAGAGCACAGCTGAGTGAGGTGACTGCCCGTGTGGCAAAGCAGCAGACATGCAGCAGGACCCCGTGGCTGCAGTGCCTTCTGAGAGAACTCTGTAGAATGACTCTGATCGTTTGCCTGGAAAAACAAGCCGGTGCTTGACTGGAGGGACAGCGTGCCTTCCATCTCTGTCTCCTTCTTATGGTGACGAAGGCCCTCGAACCTCCACTGATTTAGTGGAAAACAAACCCTATTTTCTGTTGCACTGGACCCGTAAATTCTCTTTTTTTCTCAGGATCTGTCTTGTTGTCATGTGAACATGTTGATAGTATCGCTGAATGTCACAATATTGATCACTGTGACTACCTGTCTCAGGAGCTGTGACTTGAAGCGTCAGAGGCTCTGTGAACTCTTCTGCCTGAACAAGCCCTGATGAAACCCGGTGATGCGAACGTCAAGGGAATCTGAGGCGGGTATCACATGCCAGGCTGTGGCGCATTCTTGACAGATGGATTGAAGGGGGCGGTGCTAGCCCCTCTGGAGGCCAGCCACGTGGCCTGTTGTTCATAGGGAAAACGTTAAGTAGAAAAGATGATACAGGATTCACTCCCCCCTTTCCAGAATTCATTTTCGTTTCTTCATCTGCCCTCTGTTTTAACTGTGGATGAAGAATGACTGGTTTGTGAAATTTAACCTTTTCTCAAAGCTTCAGGATAGTGTTCTAAGATAATTAGCTGCTTTTAAAGCTCTCTCTGATATGTAAATACATTGAAAATCTGAAATTGTTTATGGTAGTGCAGTTTCATTAATGGCCAACAGAAGTCAAGATTTCTTTGTTCATAACACATAATAGTAAAACTATAGGCTCACCTCCTTTGTAATGAGAAGCTATCCTTTGTGCAGAGGCCACTGAGAACTTCGCTGATTCACAGCTAGGATTTATAACACACGAGTATCATAGCCGCATTCCCTGGCTGCCACCCGGAACAGGTGCTGACCTAGATCAGGAGCCCACTGAGGTGAAGCGAATGCTGTGCTCACCAGAGCTGCAAGGCTGACCTGGAACAAGGCTGGGCCGCGGGGCTCAGAAAAGCCTGCTCAGGGCCTACTCACACGCACAGCAGCACTCCCGAGAGTGTGCAGGGGTTCCTGCGAGGAGCCCGCCGTCAGGTTCCAAGCTCAGTTGTGTGTATTTAAGTGGCAGAAAGCACAGCGTTTCCCCAAACCTTGATTTTGAGAAAAGTTCACAGAGGAACACAACTACACGCTTAGTATTCTTCTGATCTCCTGATGAACACAGCAAGGGGCGAGAGGCCATGCGTTTCCGAGCAGCTCTTTGAAATACCAGAGCCGTCCTGTAAAGAAGACTTTACCCAGCTCACGTGATCTGACCTGGGTCCGTCTGCACAATGCTTTCTCCTCTTTCTCTTTCTCCTCCTTTCAAGGACTAATGTAAGTTTCAAGTATTTTGATCCTGCTTTCCCTCGAAGTACCCCCCCCCCCCCCCAGGCTTCTGCAGCTTTGTTTCAGGCCCTGGGGAAGGAACCGTAGTGAATGCAGAGTGACTCACTTGGCACCCACTCTGGCTGTGATTGGCCAGCACCTTGCTCTGGCCATATGGCTGGGGAGCACTGTAGCCTGCAGCCCCTTCTAGCTCTTTGCCCTGCCGCTCCCTGCGGTTACCCTGACACTGGGAGCAGGTTCCCAGCTCTGTCTTGCTTCTGGTTTGCTTCAGTGAGGCAGCAAGGGCGGAGTACACTGTATTTCCTAAGGATGGCTATGGAGGAGAAAAGCTCTCTTTCCTTTTGCGCCTCGTGTAGTACTTACTTAGTTTCCTGTGCTGTTTTGTCCAGAGTGTGTTTTTTGGCAGATGTCCCATTTCTGCGGGATTCTTTCCTCCAGGTTCCCCCCGCCCCTCCCTGATTGGAGCTGTATTCTGGAAGAGTTCTTGGAGTCCCTTTCTCTGCCTGCTGATGCTGCACTTTAGCTTATTCACTAATAGATTGATGTCTGGTGGGGAGAAAGACGGAAAGTGCCTCTACATAATTATTTAATTTTAAATGGATAGATGTTCTGACAGTCACCACGCAACAAAATCCACATGTGATACTCAAGATTGTCTGCAGCACTCGCGCCAATTCTTCCTCCTCTTACCAGTCACAGTGGCTCATTACTCTACCTCCTACACTTGAGAAATAGAATTTGGAAGACTTGAAAATCAATTTGTAAAGTCCTTGGGTATTTTATTAATTTGTATTTTTATTATTCAGTTGATGGTCTCTGCAAAGACTTTGGACCCTATATTCTTTTTTTTTTTATTTCAAGTGTTTACTCAGTAGTACTAGCAGAGTATACCATATAGCAGAATTGGCTTTCCTCTGGAAATTGGCCTTTGTGTGATATTTTCTTTGTCTATCTGGAGTCAGTAATAAATATCTCTCAAGAATGAATTTTGGAGGCTGGTGATGTGGTGTAGCAGGTAAAGCCACCGCCTGCAGTGCTGGCATCCCATTTAGGTGCCAGTTCAAGACCTGGCTGCTCCACTTCAGATCCAGCTCTCTGCTATGGCCTGGGAAGGTGGCGGAAGATGGCCCAAGTCCTTGAGCCCCTGTACCCACGTGGGAGACCTGGAAGAAGTTCCTGGCTCCTGGCTTCGAATTGACCCGGCTCTGGCCATTGTGGCCATTTGGAAAGTGGACCAGCGGATAGAAGACCTCTCTCTGCCTCTCCTTTTCTCTCTCTGTAACTCTGCCTTTCAAGTAAAATAAATAAATATAAAAAAATGAATTTTGTATTGTCATGAAAGTTTACAAATGTATTTTGTAAATAATATTAAGCACGTAGCCTACAGGTTTGGATTCTTCAGAGAGCGTGGCGATGCAGTTGGTTGGAGGCCAGTGAGGATTGGAAGATTAACATGGCACCAGGGCTCCAGTGAGCCCCTATTTAAATTCCTCTACTAGGAAGTGGTGATCTGCTTTTGTCTGATGCACGGATTAGAAAGTGGATGAGGAGGGCTGCCTGTCCCTTCTGCCCCTGCCTGGTGCCAGGGGGAGGAGATGCTCTCCCAGCCGTTTGCTGGTCATGGGTGCCTTCACTTTCTGTGCTGTGTGACTGGAACAGAGACAGCAAGCAGATAGCTGAGCAAAAAAGGACCTGCCTTTAAGGGGCTTACGTTCTCTTCTGTTGGAATGTATTATTCTAGTGATACAAGTGACCCAAGCACTTTGTTCTTGTGTTTGAGCAAGGTCTAAAAAGTTCAAGAAACCTTAGCTTTTTTTAAAAAAAAAAAGATTTTTATTTATTTATTTGAGAGGTAGAGTTACAAACAGTGAGAGGGAGAGACAGAGAGAAAGGTCTTCCGTCTGTTGGTTCTCTCCCAAATGGCCGCAGTGGCCGGAGCTGCGCCGATCCAAAGCCAGGAGCTGGGTGCTTCCTCCTGGTCTCCCACATGGGTGCAGGGGCCCAAGAACTTGGGCCATCTTCTACTGCTTTCCCAGGCCACAGCAGAGAGCTGGATTGGAAGAGGAGCAGCTGGGACTAGAACTGGCACCCATATGGGATGCCGGCGCTGCAGGCGAAAGATTAACCTATTGCACCATGGCACCAGCCCCAAGAAACCTTAGCTTTTAATTTTCACCTATGTAACTGAATCCCTGTTCTTTCTAAATAAATGTATGTATTTCCATGGATCCTGTTCTACTTGTGAGTTACACATTTCAGTAATTTATAAAGTCTTATATATTAATCCTGCCATTGGGATCAAGGTTTGTTTAAAATCTGTTTAATGTTTTAAACTGGGGTAGATACATGATGTTTGATTCATAAAAATTAGTATGGCTGGTGTCTTTGTTGTCAGATACAAAATAATAATAATAATAGCCAACAATGTGTCAATCCTGGTCTGAGAATGTTTCATTTATTAGGTCCTTTGGATCGCATAAGAGTATTAAGGGTACTATTAATCACCTCATTATGGGACAGAATATTGTGGCACAGGCAGTTAAAAACCTGCCCAACATCATATAGCTAGCTGGTGAGTAGCGAAGCTGAAACTTAAGTTGGAGAAGTTTGGCTCTGAAGCTGGGCTCTCTGCTGCTGTGCTAAAGTGATCTTCCAGTCCAGCACACAAAGCTAACGCATCTAGAAATCTGAGCTCTGCTCAATGGGCTTTATTCACTTTTCTTACATCTGTGTGCCTTGGTTTCTCTTTATATATAAAATATTTTGTACACCGTCAGTTTCATATTCACAGTACTATCTGTTGAGTACATTGAACTCCTCTTGTATAGAATGTGTGTAAATTTTAGACATAGCAGGTTTAGATGAAGCTAGTTAGAGAAAAGGTATTGGAGAAGTCTAATTTCCATGCAGCTAATACATTTCACTTCTTTTTGTTCTCATTTGGTAGAAAAGAGTAGTTGAACAGCTACGGAAGAACTTGATAGTAAAACAAGAACAACCGGACAAGTTCCAGATCCAGCCATTGCCACAGCCTGAAAACAAGCTGCAGGCAGCACAGCAGCCACCACTCCAGCTACAGCCGCCGCAGCAGCACCACCACCACCACGGCCAGCAGGCGGCTGCGCCCTCCCCCAGCTTGACTGCTTCCCAGGTACGGCGGGGCTGACGCCGCAGGCCTTGTGAGCCGCAGAGACTGATGGTTGCTTCATTCGTGAGAAGTGCTGGGACAGTTGTCTCTCTTTACAGATGCAAACAAATAGTGATAATGGCCAATCATGTGCCAATCTCAGTTATTGGTCCAGTAGTCCGAGGCCCTGTTTCAGACTGCAGGAGCTCATAGCACTAACAGAAGTTATCTTGGTTACGGTTTTGTACTGTAACTTGGGGGAGGATCACTTGAAATTCCTTGGCAGAAGGAAATAGCAAACGTTGAACGATTTCTCACCTTTCCAAACAAAGGGGAAAGATGATGTCTTCTGTACATTACATCAGAATTAAAGTCTTATCTTGAATTTCTAGAGGTGTTTATTTGCAAAACATTCTAAAAGTTTGTGTGATTTTATGTCTTTTAGAGTTGTTTTATAACAAAGATCCCTTTAAGATTCTGTTGAAAGCTATGGATACATGTTCGTACTCACTATACTCATTATTGCACGTTTCAGAGTCTTTGGCATCTTTTGAAACCTAAACATGGACACCTCTCACTCACCAACACCAAGTCTCACTGTGTCTTGACACTTGATCTTAGCCAAAAGGCGGAGACGTGACTATCACTGTGTCTTTAGAGTGAGAGGAAAGATGTGCTTCACTGTTTGTAGACATCAGGATGGTGCATGTACAGCACTGTGGAAGTGAATGACTTGTGTATAATATACTAAAGTTAGCTAACCTCTAGTAGAGGTTACTGTGTATTGGCACTCTCCAGAGTGCGTATGTAATGGGCATATGTCTTGCCCTAAGCCCATGAGGATGACACTGTTATTGTCATCTTTATTTTCTAGAAGAGAAAACTTAAGGCACAAAGAGGTTAAGTAATTTACCTGAGATGATGTAGATATTCTGTGATGGAACCAAATTTGAATTCAGATGTTCTGGCTGAAGTGTGTCCATTCATCTGCTCTCTATTGCCATACAATGCCAGGATGCCTATACCATGTGAAACCAGAGAAGCAAAAAGAAAAACCATGTTGTAGAGCAGATTGCTAGAGCAGCCTATGTAATTTTTACCCTAATCTTTTCCCCCCAAGAATATTTGGAAATTAGGCATTTAAAATTGACTTTAAAAATTCCCTGGTCAGGACTGGTATTGCTTCTGAAAGATTACAGGAATACTTTTTAAAAAAATTAATTAATGTGTTTGAAAGAAAGAAAGGGAGCGACGGAGATTTTCCCCCTGCTGATTCACTCCCCAAGTGGCTGCAACAGCCAGGGCTGGGCCAGGCCAAAGCCAGGAGCTTCACTGGGACCTCCCCATGGGTGGCAGGGGCCCAAAACCTTGAGTTGTCTTTTGCTGCTTTTCCCAGGCCATGAGCACGGAGCTGGATTGAAAGTGGAACACCTAGTTACACGAACCAGCACCCATGGCTTTACTTGCTACACCACAACACCAGCCCCAGGGTTGCTTTTCTTAGACTTTTAAACAGGATTGGATTAGGTTATTCTCTTTGCAAATTGTGGATTAATGAGAAAGTGTGCCCATGGAAGGAATAATAGTTGTCATGTACTTGTAATAGCTGTTTCTTTCCTTGGGACTCTTGAGTTCTGTGCTGCTTTGGGATGGTGGATGGTGAGGGCCCTGGTGCCCTCCCCAGAACAGTGTTATGTAGTGTCTCTCCATCTAGTGGCCCACTTGGATATATTTCATTGATTTAGCCCAACTTTGTTTTATATTGTTTTGTTTTGTCTAATGAAATGTTTAATGTTAAAAGTCATAAGATCCTCTAGGTGTTTGGTCCTTGTCTTCACAGTAGACTATTGATCATTATTTATTGAATGCTGTCTTGATTCTGCTGTACCAGAAGAAATGGTCCCTGCCAAGAATCCGCTATATCATGATAATTGATTTAATTTTCATTCATTCTGGAAATATTTACTGAGGCCCTACTATGTGCAAGCATTGTGTGACACATTGTAAAGGAGAAATTAACTTGAAATTAAGGCAGAGTTCCGTTTTCAGGAATTGAAAGCATTTAGAGAGGGAGAGGAAGTTGCAAACTGCTGACTGAATGGAGGTACCAGTCTAGAGACAGAGTATTCTGACTAGAGAGATGAGAGTGACCCTCCAAGCAGGTGGCATTTGAGCAGGACCATGACGAGGAACAGGGTTTCAGTGGTGGAGCAGAAGGAAGAAACAGTGTGAACAGAAGTCTGGAGTCGACGAAGTGAACGCGTGGCTGATGTGCTTCAGGCACCACACCCCACGTCCGCGTGCCTGTCTGAGTCCCAGCCACGCTGCTTCCTCTCCAGCTTCCTGCTGATGCTCCTGGAAGGCAGCAAAAGATGCCCCAGTGCTTGGGCCCTGTCACCCACATGGAAAACCCGGATGGAGTTTGTGGCTCTCGGGTCAGCCTGCCAAGCCCCGCCTGCTGCAGACATCTGGGGAGTGAATGGAAGATCTGAAGATCTCTCTCTCTCTCTCTGTCTCTGTCTCTCTCTCCCTGTCACTCTGCCTTTCAAATACATTGATTTGTTTTTTAGAGTAAATGCACGCCCAGGAATAGCAATTAGGCTGATATGGTTGGAGCATGGATTTCATGAAACAGTGGCAGGGAGAGAAGGCCAGAGAGGCAGGAGGGCGCTGGTTGGTGACAGAAGCCACCAGTGCATACTGAAACTCCTGGGGATTTGGGCAGTCAGAGGGAAGCAGTTAAGAGTTCTGAGGGCAAGGACAAATGGGAGGTTGTCTGTGGGACATAGTAAACATGCGACTTCAGAAAGGAATACCTACTGAGCAGCCCACGGGCAGGGAGGGATGGTGCGAGGAGAGTTTGTATTTTGTCAGGTGATTGGCATGTACCAAAGCATGAAGGGAGCAATGCGGAAGTCTTTGGGGGGTGGGGAGGGAAGGACCTTTACTTTGTTAATTCCAACTCACCCTTTAACCTGTGCTCACAGTCCTTTCATTCGTAGTGATACAATGCAAGTGCAAAAAGAATACAGTTGATGAAACCAAACAGAAATCAAACTCTGGTGGACAGAGAGGGAGGGTTCTATTTGTGGTTGAGTGTCCAACAATGACTTTCTGAACAAAATAATATGAAATGAAATATAGAGGTTAATTAGAATCCATGGGCAGAATCCTTCTAAGTTCTGATGTGTGCATTGGAGTCCATCTGTTTTTTAACCTCATACTTTTCAGATAAACAACGATAATTTAGCAAGAAAATTAAGGATTTTGTTATCAGTATTACTTGCCATGTCTGTCTGTCTTTTCTTTCTTTCTCTCTTCCTTTCTCTCTTTTTTTAAAGATTTATTTATTTATTTGAAAGGCAGAATTGCAGAGAGGCAGAGAGAGAGAGGTCTTCCATCTGCTGGTTCACCCCCCACTCCATGGCTGCAACAGCTGGAGCTGGGCTGATCCGAAGCCAGGAACCTGGAGCTTCTGGGTCTCCCACACAGGTGCAGGGGCCCAAGCACTTGGGCCATCCTCCACTGCTTTCCCAGGCCAGAGCAGAGAGCTGGATCAGAAATGGAGCAGCCAGGCCTCGAATTAGGACCCACATGGGATCCTGGCACCATAGGCAGCGGCTTCACCCACTGCACCACAGCACCGGCCCCACCATGTCTTTGTACATGGAATTCTAGTTCATGAAAGAATCCCTTCATGACACTTGGTGCCACTGCTGCCTTCTCTTAAAAGTGATCATATTTGTGCCACATTAACTAGCCAGGAGCTAATCACAGCTTCCCTAAAAATACTTGTCTTTGTTGTTAAGACCCCCCTCCTCTCTGCCTTCTCTTGCTCCTGCAGAGCAGTTTACATGTTGTCATTAGGCTTGGATTCTAGATTTTCTGTGTCATCTAAACCCTAACACTCCGAGAGTTCAGTTGTATGTTCCCTCCTAATTGAAATAGAAGAAGCACAAGGCCAGAAGCAGAGATTATACAGTGCTTTTGTCTTGGGGACAAGAAGTCATTAGTAAACATGTTCTTCAAAAAGTTTTTGGAGCCAGCATTGTGGCGTAGCAGGTTAAGCCTCCACTTGCAACGCCGACATCCCATGTGGCCACTGGTTCAAGACCTGGTTGCTCTACTTCTGATCCTGCTTGCTGTTAATGTGCCTGGGAAAGCAGTGGAAGATGGTGCAAGTCCTTGGGCCACTGCACCCACGTGGGAGACCCAGAAGAAGCTCATGCCTTTGGTCTGGCCCAGCCCTGGCCATTGTGACCATTTGGGGGAGTGAACCAGTGGATGGAAGCTCTCTTTCTCTCTCCTTCCCTCTCTCTGTAAGTCTGCCTTTCAAATAAAGAAAGAAATCTTTAAAAAAAAAAAAGTTTTCATCGAAGCATGTGGTACTAACCTGTGTCTGTGTACTATATGGGGTTATATAGATGAGAAAATGCAGGTAGTAAAATCAACCACAACTAAGTAAAATGAAAAACAAGATACAACAGCTTGTTAGGTTGGAGTGCTTTTAAGTGTTGGTTAATGGTAGATATTTAGTTCAGGTGAGTTTGATTCAAGATTTTCTAAAATAGTAAGTTAAGAGCTAGTCAAAATATTGATAGTGATTTGCTTAAACCAGAAGTGTTTGAGTAGAAGTGTATTGACCTCCTCTTAAGCCACAGCAGTGTACACAACTGTGAAATGCAGGCACTGAGTTCTGCTGGCTACAGCGTTACTTCCACAGCCCATGGTGGCACCAGGGGTGAATGCCAGCCAGTGTGACTTGCTCACCACATGAAAAATGCCTTGCGTGTAAATGTTTTAAACTGAAAGATAGCGTTGATATCATGCTGTGTTAAAAATGCCCATTACAAATAGCTGGTAATAAATGGTCCTTGTTGCTGTCCTACTATAATATTTCTAATGGTAAACAGCATTTAACTTTTATTTGATTTCCATCACTGATAGAAAGCAGATGACCTGCTACCCCCCAAAGTAAATATCACTGTGACCCTTTTACTCCCACCCATTTCACTTTAGAGGTGGCAGTGGCAAAAAAAAAAAAAAAAAAAAAAAAAAGCCACTCTGGTGTTGTTGTCTTGGAAAAGAGGAAGCACAGATTTGGGTGATTTTATTTGTGCACATTAATAAGGATTGCTAATTAGGCTGTGATGGGATAAGTGAGCACAGCTCATTAAATTTTTGGTTAAAAGAAGGCAGAAAGATGTGGGAAGATTGGATAATATGTGTGGAAAAGGCAGAGAAGGGAAACATTGCCCACAGCCAAGCAGCTTACCACACAGGCAGTTCCAGAGTCCCAGGGAACGTTGTCCTAGGTCCATTTCCGGGAGAGCAGAGTACTTCCCACTGGCCCGGAGCAGCGCCCTCCAGCAGACCTGGCTGTGGTGTGGGGAAAGTTCTCTGTTCCCTCTGTCCGGGTTGGGGCTTTTGTTTCTACCCAGCCACGTTTCACTGCATCTTCAGTCACTGGTGCAGCACTTCTCCAGAGAAGAGGTGATGCGCAGGGCTCATAGCCCTTTGGTTTCAATAACCACATGTGCTTTACTAGCTGGTTAGTATGTTTGGTTTTCTGGAGTTAGGGATTTACGGCCTGCGAGGCAATGGTTGTGCTAATCCTCATGAGCGTTTCCCTTCCTCCTCTCCAGAGACTGCTCAAAAAAACCGAAAAGGCACAGTCTTTTTACCCCAGCCTGTGTGTCACGGGAGGCACATGAACAGTTTGTGTGGTGGCTTTCTTCCCACCCGTGAGTCTGTAGCAATTAAGGATAGAGATGATGTGTACCCCATTGCTTTGCATCTTGTACATAAATTAATTGAGAGCCAGTAAAGGAGAAAAGCCGAAAGAAACAAGAACAGTCATGTTCTGTATCAGTAACCACTCTTCCCAGTTTGCTGTTGTAAACCCTGCACTCAGGTTAGTCAGCGGCTACTACAGTGAACTTGGCCGTTTACCAGTGGCGCTAATTTGAGAATGTAGCAAATTAGAGATCATCTCTCCCTGTAATAAGAAATGTGCTCTCTGTGCATGAAAGAAATGTTGTCATAGTGAGAAACTTGGTTGACTGTGAGAATTATTGCTTTGTTTTCTTCCAGGATTGAGTAGCATACTGCTCAGTGGGATCACATTTCATTGTTGTAATGTCTGTTCTCCATGTTTCCTAGAAGACTGTAACTACAGCTTCTATGATTACCACAAAGACACTACCTCTCGTCTTGAAAGCAGCCACTGCGACCATGCCGGCCTCTGTTGTGGGCCAGAGACCTACCATTGCTATGGTGACCGCCATCAACAGTCAGAAGGCTGTACTCGGCACCGATGTCCAGAACACGCCAGTCAACCTGCAGACGTCCAGTAAGGTCACTGGGCCTGGGGCAGAGGCCGTCCAAATTGTGGCAAAAAACACAGTCACTCTGGTAAGCCAGCAGCTGCCGCTCACGGGAGAGGGCTCAGGACATGCAGCGTAGGGCACATCCACCTCAGGCTCCTGCCATGGTTCTCGGAGGCCAGCCTTCTCCTTGTGTACCAGATGTCCTTCAGGCCAGACAAGGGCTCGCTGCTCAAATACTACAGAGCTGTGTTGACGCCCAGGGCCACATCTGTGCGTTATCTGAGGTCGGAGCATGGCCTGATGAAAATGTCCCTGCAGCCTGACCACAGGCCTTCCTGTGAAACTGGAGCGCATGAACTCTGTGGAGCTGTGTGACTGCTCAACTCTTGAGCTCTCTGTCCCATTAAATTGATCGCACCCAGGAAGTGCTGGAGTTAGTCAAGGCACTTGAAAAACGCTCAGCAAACTCCAAAACTAATAGCAGCGGTGTCCGCGTTTTATCAGAAAAAGATCTGCTGGAGGAGGAAGTATTTGAACAAGAATTGTTTATGAGATTTATAGGACCAAGCCATTGAGAAAACATGTTTCTCAGAAGCTTAGGGAACAATATCCAAATTTTGATATATCGTTCATTTCCTAAAATGGTAGCTAAGAGCCTTTGGTAGCTTTTAAATGATGACCGGTGACGAGTGAAACTAGAGAGCCATAAAGTGAAGCTCCGTCAGTCACCCAGGAGCCCTTAGCGCAGCAACCAGATCGCTTGGCCAGATGCTAGAGTTAGGAGAGTCCCCGCAGGAGTAAACCCCTCCACTATGAGGGAAAGCGCTTGTATCAGGAAAGAGCCCATTCGACCAGGCAGCAGACTGGATTTACTTTGGATCTAGTCTTGAATTTTTTAAAAATATGTTTAAGAGTAAGAGTTCTTGAGTGTCTGAGAAATTGCTTAAGGTTCCTGAGCCTGCCCTGTTGTCCATGAAGTGTGTGAGGACAGTAGTGTGACTGGCTCGCTTTGTGGGGCAGACTACCCAGGCGAGAGAGGCAGGCCGCCTGATGCAGTGTTCAGACAGTTAACCCGACAGTGGGTTCTTACGGAAAATACCGTCTGATCCACGGAATACTGGGCTGAAATGAGAATGCCTCGCTTCGGTGCTGAGCACTGATTGTTCTCTCTGGTTTATTTATCTGCTTGTTTTGTTGTTGTTGTTGTTTAGCAGGTTCAGGCAACACCTCCTCAGCCCATCAAAGTACCACAGTTTATTCCCCCTCCTAGACTCACTCCGCGTCCAAACTTTCTTCCACAGGTGAGTGAAGCAGTGACGAGGCCAGTGACGGGTTAGGTGGGACGGAAACCGTGCCGGCCTCTCTGAACAGCCTGTAACGAGGCTGTCAGCACAGCCGACTCGACGCCCTCCTCAGCCAGCCATGCTGACTGCCGTTTCTCTACCGTACGGAAGCTTATTTTATTGTTAGGATTTATTAGCAATGACCGAAGGCAGTAGCAGGGGGAGAGAAAAGAAAAGGAAAATTTTCTAAATGTACAACAATTAAGATAGCATCATTAGAAACCTTATGGTAACTTACTGCCTGGTAATGGGAAAGTATGCAGTGACCATTTTCAAATTTATTTCCCATATGCCAAAAAAAGAACAGGGAGGGAAATAAGAGCCAAGCGAACCGGCAGACATCATTTAGTGCTGGTCTGAAAACCAGTGGTATTGAGGCTCGTATTCAATACAGAGCCGTGACAGAAAGGTTTAGGCCAGGGTTTGTGCAGGGGACTTGCTCCTTGGGCCCAAGCAACTCTGCTTGTTTGCTCTGACAGTGCTCCTCCCGCAATCAGAAGGACCCTCGCCCTTATCAGGGTCGAGTGTCTGAAATCTGAGGAGTTTTGATGTGATTGAAAGGATGAGAGTTCCTCTCTGAGGCCCTTGGTTTCAGGCAAAGAGAAAAGAGAAAGGAATTTTGTCATCCGTGGTACAGTTTCTGAATAGCCTCTGGGGAGGAGGTGGGCAATGCTAAAATGAGATAAGGTGATTTCAGTCATTTATCAAATAAATCCTTAATAAGTGCCTTGGGCAGCAAGCACTGTGTCTCCGCCAGTGGTCAAGAAGGCGCTTCTCTGCCCGCGCAGAGCTTCAGACACACAGACGGCGCCCACTGTGGGAAGACAGGGTGTTCTGAGGCCGCGCTGGGGGGACAGCCAGCCCATCCTGTACAGCATTAGAGAAAGCTGCTTCAAGATGCCCTTAAAGGGTTGAATTCAGTCTGAGGCCTAAAATCCTACCAAAGTTATCCTGACAGAGTTTTAGGGGAGAATAGAAAGGGCCCCGGCAGAGGGGGAACATGGCATGCGGGTCTGTGGCAGGGAGATGCATGGGAATTTAAGGAACCAAAGGAGACTTGCTGTGTGGGCACAAAGGGCCATGTGACTGATTCAGGCTGGGATGAGGCCGGGCAAGTGCACCGCCCCGGAGCCTGTGGGTTCCTGCAGTCTGCAGGAATCTGGGCCTCATCCGAGGAGCAGTGGGCACCCACTGAATGAGTGTTTTCAAGAAGCAAGCACTTGACGTGATCAGATTATGACTCAGAAGCCCTCTTGTCTGTGCATAGAACAGACTGGAGATAGCCAGGACTGTAGGCAGAAAGAACAGTGAGGACACTGTCAGTGATGGGGGTAGCCAGGGTGTGGGGAATCTTGCTGTGTGCCAGGTCCCCACTGGACACTTCACATGGGCTGCTTATTTTAATCCTCAACCATAGTAGGTATTACTCAGCTAAGGAATCTGAGGCTGTTTAGGCCATGTTTTTCAAACAAGGGATCCATCACAACTCATTAGTTGGCTATGAAATCAACTTACTGGATAGTAACCAGAGTTGTTAAGTAACGTGAATAGAACAGAATAAGAAACATTAGCTGTGTCCTGTATTTCATGAAGCTATGTTTTTACAGAGATAGACTGTATGTCTTCATGTGTATACCAGCTAAAATATCAAAAGTATTTCCTGCTATGGGATACTTCCTACCGCCAAGTTTATTTTTGAGTTCAGCAAAACTTCCAGACTCACAAGGCTATCCCAGGCCATACTTGGCATGATGCAGAATAGCATGCCAGCAGGACAGCCTTGGGCATTCTGCTTCAGTGGGAGTCCCTACAGCAGCCCATGCAGCAGTCTCTGGGGCTGCCCAGGAATCCTCAAGTGCAAGGAGATGAAAGCTTTATCCAGGACAGTGGGAGGGAGGCCCTCAGGTAGAAGCCAGTACATCTCGTAACAGTTCCCTAGGCATGGCTTTCACGGTCTCCATGTTGGATGTACCCAAGTTACCATCATCCCACTTAGGGAGGACTAAGCACCGAGTCCTATCAGAGGCTCTAGTTCTCTCCCTTCAGACTTAGTGATCACTAAGGGGTAATTTCTGTCACCAGTATTGTTGCTGGTAACGCTGACATTCTTACCTTTGTTGGGTTTCTAGAACAGAGCTAGAGAATTACCTGAAGGCTCAGTTCTCATGCACAAGGCAAGAGTTTTGCCCACAAGGTCTTAGTTTTAAAAGTTTGCTTAGAAAGGTTGTGTATATTGCCTGAGGTTACACAGCTAGTCATGTGGTCGAACCAGGGTTTGTACCTGCTGCCTGCATATTTTTTAGAAGATTTATTTATTCCTTCATTCATTCAAGAGGTGGAGTTACAGAGAGATGGAGAGACAGGAGAAAGGTCTTCCATCTGGTGGTTCACTCTTCAAATGGCCACAGTGGTCGGAGCTGAGCCGATCTGAAGCCAGGAGCCAGGAGCTTCTTCCCGGTCTCCCATGTGGGTGCAGGGGCCCAAGCAGTTGGGCCATCTTCTACTGCTTTCCGAGGCCATAGCAGAGAGCTGGATCAGAAGAGGAGCAACTGGGACTCGAACCAGCACCCATATGGGATGCCAGCACTGCAGGCAGAGGCTTAGCCCATTACGCCATAGCGCCAGCCCCTTCGTGCATGTTTTTAACAACACTTTTGTTTTATTTTCCAGTCCTGTTTTGGTAAACCAAACATAAACGAGGGTAGCTGCAGTGAGATAAAAAGTAGACAGATTTGAGAACTCTTTAGGAAGTAGGGTTGGAATAGGAAGCATCACGAATGATTCTGAAGTTTGTCAAGAAAAGGCCCCTTACTAAGGTGATTATAGAGGAAGGAAGGATTGGAAGAAGAAATTGGTAAGTGTTAGAAAAATTGATTTTGAACTTCTGATGAGATGTCCAAGGAGAGATGTCTAACAGGTAGTTGAAAATGATCCTGAAACTCAGGAAATGTCTCTGGTCCGGAGTGGGAGTCTTCAGTACATAGATAGTAACTGAAGTTGTGGGAGGAGTGAGCGCTGCCAGCAAAAGTGAGACCATTAGAAGGAAAAGGGGTTGCAGGTCAAAATCCTATAGGAAGAGTGGACCCCAGTGGAGACTGAGAAGGAGTAGGCCATACTGGGTAGTGAAGAATGAGGAGTTTACCTTCTGACGGCCTGGGACAGCAGCGGAGGACAGCCCAAGTCCCTGGGCCCCTGCACCCATGTGGGTGACCCAGAAGAAGCTCCTGGCTCCTGGCTTCGGCCTGGCCTAGCCCTGGCCATGGTAGCCATTTGGGGAGTGAATCAGCAGATGGAAGATCTCTCTGTTATTCTCTCTCTCTGTCTCTCTCTCTCCCCCTTCCAAAAAAATAAATAAATTCTAAAACAAAAACAAAATGGGGAGTTAGAGGGCCAGAAATGGGAGTGAACTGAAGCTGTCCATATAAAGAAACCTGGAAGGTGAACTAAGACCATTGGCAACATTCTCGCCCCTCTGGGCATAAGAAGTACAGCGTTCTGAGGTGGTATTTGGGTCTTCATGAGTTATGTGTCCTAGGAGTTGCAGAATAATAATACCAAGATGAATATCAATAAATACTTGTATGGAATACCATTTGGTTTATGTAGAGTGGAAGATTGGGCGGTGTTTTAGATTTACAGGACATCAGCAGCTTCTTTAAATAATAGAATAATTCTTCTTTCTTTCCCTCATAGGTTCGACCCAAGCCTGTGGCTCAGAATAACATTCCTATTGCCCCTGCACCTCCTCCCATGCTTGCAGCTCCTCAGCTTATCCAGAGGCCCGTCATGCTGACCAAGTTCACCCCCACAACCCTTCCCACTTCCCAGAATTCCATCCACCCCGTCCGTGTTGTCAATGGACAGACTGCAACCATAGCCAAAACGTTCCCCATGGCCCAGCTCACCAGCATTGTGATAGCTACTCCAGGGACCAGACTCGCTGGACCGCAAACTGTACAGCTTAGCAAGCCAAGCCTTGAAAAACAGGTACGGGCAGTGTATGCCTGCCCTGGGCAGTAGCTGAGCCGCTCAAGCACATGGTGGCTGGGGTGTGTCTAAATACATCTTCTCCAGGGCTCTTCCCCAGGACCTGCTGCGTGTGAGTGGTAGTTCATTCATATGCACTGGAAAGTTGGCTGGATCTCTCCCCACCTTCCCCTTGTGGTGGCTTCGGATTTCTGTGTGAGTGAGCTCCCCCTGCTGGTTCAGATGCAGAAATTCACCGATGGGCGGCCATGGTCAGGAAAGCACATGAGGTAGTAAACAGAAAAAGCCGTATTAGTTTTTGAGTCTAGTAAAGAGTCCAGATGAGGAAGTGACTGTGACGATCAGGAAGAATAAACAGGGAAAGGGGTTTCATTTCAAAGATTTTTCTTGATTGTTATAGATAATTGAGGAGCACTTCCCCCAAAACAATTAAAATTTCCAAAAAGCATTTTTTTAAACTCTAGGGCAAAGATGGCAAAATTTTTTGTTTCTAGAGGCCATGTGGGTATTTATAACATCATTCCCGGTCCATATAAAACTACCAACTTAACATTAGCCTGCTTTAAGTTTATTGGATGTCGGGTCCTGCCTGTGCTTGCCTTGGCAGGGCCAAACAGATGATCTCACAGGCTGGACACTCCCCTCCTCTGCTCTAGAGGGTGAAGACGCTCAGTTAAAATATTGAAAGCTTTCATTTAAATTTTTTAAAATCAGAATTTCACTTCTTGAAAAATGAGGCTGAGGCGGGCGATGAGGCACTCAGCAAGTCACGCCACTGCTGGGGCGCCCACAGACTGTACTGGAGTGCTAGTTCAAGTCCCCACTACTCTGCTGCCCATCTGCCTTCCTGCTAGTGCACCCTGGGTGGCAGCAGGTGACGGCTTAAGTACTTAGACCCCTACCACCCACGTGGGAGATTTGGATGGCACTCCTGGCTCCTGGCTCCTGCCTGACCCAGTCCTGGCTGCTGAGGGCTTTGGGGAAGTGAAGCGGCAGATGTAAGCTGTCTTGCTCTCTTGTTCTCTCACTCTCTTGGCTCTGCCTCTCAAGCAGGTGAAAATAAACAACATTTTTATTAATTAGAATAAATAAATAATATTAAAATGACATTTTATTTAAATTAGACTACAGTATATTACAGGTAACCTCCAGAAATACTTCAAGGTCCTGTGGCAGAAAGACTTATAAAAAGAAGAAAAAGGATTGCTAGGCAGTCAACTCAGCTGTTTCCTATTTGAAGACAGGCCAGTGATGAGAAAGAAGTTTTGAAGGAATCCACTCTCTTCCAGGAAAGTTGCTTTCCACAGTTGTTGTCCTGCCTCCGACGGCTCAGGCCTGTCTCCTTTGAGGGTAACGTCTGGTGATCCTGAGCCGCCTTCTGGACAGCAGCCCATGATCCTGCTGGCCAGATAGGGGGCGTAAGGACTTCCCTGCTTCCTGGGCCTCTATGATCAGAGAGGCCTCACGCATATAACACCAGGCCTTCTGTCTCGGCAGCTCCAGAGCTGGCGAATCTTGTACTGAAGCCAGATTCCAAAGTCCAGCAGCCGGGATCCACAGGCGAAGGCACCTGCCCCTTCCTGGGGAGCCTGCTCGGTGCAGGACACTCAGGAGATCCTTGCCTGGAGCCCTGTGCTGGCCCTGCTGGCTCTGAGCAGCCCTGGCGTTCCACCAGAACGTGTTTTCACAGCACTACCTTAGAATTCTAAAAATCATTTCTCTTCCATAAAGATAATTCTTGGAGACAAAAATACTTTCTGTTTCAATATATTTTTAATTTCTGGATTTTTCTAACCACAAAGGTAACATGTGAATGCACTTAAAAAAACAAACATTACAGAAAAATGAATTATAGAAAATGCTCTCCCTCATAATCTGTAGAGAAAGTAAACTCCATAATTTTATAATTTTACATCCAGGACTTAATTGCTGTTAACTGTTTAGATTATATTCTTCCAGATGTTTTCTGGATATATGGTAACACATTTTTAAAGAGGAAAAAAATCAAGCTACAGTAATGTGCTCTTTTTCCACTTAGTAGATCCTGAACATCTTGCCATGGCCTGGGCTTCTGTGTTGGTAGAGCTTTTAATTTGAGTTATAATGACATAGAAAGGTATTCAAGAGACTTACGAATTTAAAAAAACAATTTTTTTGAAGCAGTGAATTCCATGGTCTCTCGTTGTGATTTAATAGGGGAATTCAGTCATTGCTATTTTAGTTTGACAGACCAGTTGGCGTAACAGTCTGTCACATCACCAAGCCCAGTCAGCAGAGTCTCTTTAGACTGGATTCCATTTTCAGAATTCTCCCACTTCAGATCTTCCTACTGGTCTCCTTTTCTCTTGTGTGCTTCGTTTCCAGGATCACACGTGTAGCCGGTAAGAGAGCTCAGAGATGGCAAGAATGAAGCAGTGTCAATAGCCGTGCGAGTGTCACTTGGAACCCGCTCATAGGTTCCGACGTTCTCTCTGTGATGGGTTCCTCTCCGACCTCTGCTGTGTCTCTTAGGGGGATAACAGCGTTCATTTGATAAGAACGTGTCAAGTGCTAGGAGCTGTGGTGAGGCAGAGTCCTTTCCCGCGAGGAGCTCGCTCTCCAGCATTTGGACCAGAGAAGAAAGCGCAGCACCTTGTGAAGGGCCTGCGGCCCCCACGTCCTCATAGGGAAGGAAGGAGGCAGCGCCGGCAACCACAGCAGTGGTTTCACTTCTTCCTTGGTCTCATCCCTCATTAGAGGCCACCTTGCGGTGTGGCTCTGAGAAATGAGTGGTGGTGTTCAGAGAGCTTGGAGGCTAAAGGCGTGTTTTAGAAAAGGAGATGGAACCAGATGAACATGTTTCAGGTCTCACACCACTTCCCTCATCCTCTGCAGCACTCTCCGAAACAGGCTAACACCTGCTGATGAGGAAACGCGGTAGTGCTGAAAGTCCATTAGACTATGCGATGCCTGGCAGGGCGTTCGTTCCTTCTCCACACCCTGCAACAAAGACACCTCCAGATTCCAGTCTTACCTCTTGATGAACCTGACTTGAGGACTTCCCTCAACCCGTTTTAATACCGACGCTGTAGTACGGAAAATAGATCCAAGTGACCAAACTGGATTTTGCTTTGCTTTCAGTCCAAATTTATTTAACTTGGTTAATGAAACCATTTAGATATCTATTTATTTGCATGTACCTTTGATTTTTTTCATGCAGCCAAGTCTAAGATGGTGAATTCGAAATCTAGGGTGTAAATGGTTAAATTACCTCTAGACTTGTGTAGAATTTTTAGATCATGTCTTTTGTAATACCAAATTTTCTATATATAACACAAATTCAAATAGCCATGAATGTGAAGCAAGAAACATAAATGAACACAGCTGGCTAGAGTAAACAAGGAGACTTTATTTCCCTGCTTTCAACAGGAACATGAGGACAGAGGGAGCGCTCGGTTATTCTTCCTTTCCCTGTAGCGCAGTGAGGAAGGCAAGCGTAATACTGTCTGGCAGTAGGAAGTGGAGACCGTGGGGAACTGCAGTGGCGTGCCCCGTCTCGAGGAAGCAGCTGCGTCTTGGCAGTCACTGGTTGCTACCACAGAGAGACTTCTTCAGGAAAGCCCCAAATCCAGGTGTTTTGGGAAGCTGCGTAGTTTTTTCAACATTGTCTAGGCAAAAAGAACATCTGCAGGGCAGCTTCAACTCTGGATAAAGTGGTTTTCAATTTCTGTTAGTGACCAAACTTTATCAGTCTTTATTGTTTCCTAACCTAATTTTTTTAATTGAAGTGAAAGTCACACCACATAAAATTAACCATTTTAAAGTGAACCATTTGGTGGCATTTAGTATATTCACAGTGTTGTGCAACCACCACCTTTGTCTAGTTCCAAAACATTTTTGATGAAATAAAACCCAGTGTCTGTCAACAGCTCCTTGCCATTCCCCGGTCTGTAGACGTATGTGTCATGGACAGATCACATGAACACTCGTACATACGTGACCCCTTGTGTCTGGCCCTTTGCTTCGCATCATGTTCCTGAGGTTCATTCACCCTGCAGCGTGCGGCAGTGTTTCCTCGCCTTCCAGTGGCTGAATAACGTGTGCGCAGCGCAGTTTGTGTAGCGTTCACCTGCCGATGGGCTCTGGGGTTGTCCCTCCTTTCAGCCACTGTGTCCGGTGCTGCCAGACAGGCGTGAGCATTCCATCCGCTCCGCGCCCTTGCCAGTGCCCACTGTTCCCCCTTTTTTGTTCTGTCCATAGCCATCCTAGTGGCTGTGATCTTGACTTGCATTTCCCTGGTGACTAACAGTGATGAGCCTCTTGTCACGCCTTTGTTGGCCGTTTAAACGTCTTCTCCAGAGAAATATCTGTTCAAATCCTTTGCCAGATTTTAAATGCAGTTGTTTGTCTTTCTGTTGAAAGTTTATTAGACTCTTATGAGAACTGTGATTTGCAGATACTTCCTCCCGTTCCATCAGTTGTCTTTTCACATTCCTGATACTGACCTTTGATGCACAGCTCATTTTTTGTCTTGGTCTTACACCCTGCATCCTTGCTGAATTCATCTATTGGCTCTAATAGTGGTTTTGTGGATTCTTTGGGATTTTGCTATATATAGGATCATGTCACCTGGCTTTTGTGTCATTTTCTTGCCTGATCGCTGTGGCTGGAACATTGCCAGTGTTGAACAGCAGTGGTAGAAACTTCCTTGTCTTGTTCCTGGTCTTCAGGGAGCGAGGGAGCCTTCAGGGTTTCCCCATTGAGTATGATGTTAGCTGTGTTTTCTTATAAATACTGTTTGTAAAATTGAAGAAGTTTTCTTCTGAATGTTTCTATCAGATCTTTTTGAGTTAAAAGTTGTGTTTATTTAAGGTAGACAACACAATGGTTGGGTCTGTATACACATAATGATGTGATTACTGCATAATTAACTGCATAATTAAGCTAATTAACATACCCACTACTAACATGATACCTTTGTGTGGGTGTGGCTGTGGGTGTGGCTGTGTGGTACAGTAATG